ATGGCTTACCACCCGGTGCATTTAGCAGGACAGGGCTTGTGAACACCAAGGATACTGACTCTTGTACTCTTTCTGAGCAAGCAGTTCACATGATGTGTTACTTTTCTTACTTCTGTGATAAAATACCAAACAAAGGCAGCTTAAGGTACAAGAGCTCATTTTAGCTGACAGTTTGAGTGTTCAGAATGTCATGGTAGACTTCTCAGGTACAATAGCACAAAGACTTGGAGATTTCACCTCACAATAATGAATAAAATATTATACATACTCTCATTAGGAAATAGGAAGTCCAGGCAGGATTAATATACATTCTAGTTTAAGAGTACACACACTTCTCTTCCATATTTTGTTCTAAGCTAATGAATTTCAAAATAGTTTCTTCTTTGAAGTACACAAACTTTAAAGAAATACCTTCACTCTTTGGTTTGTTGTAGTGCTGTTCACCAAAGGTGAGATATGGATAGCCTGTGTTCTAGCAAAAAAAAAATCCACCTCTTTTGTCTTGCACAAAAATTAATTTGCAATGGATCTAAGACCTTAATTTAAGCATGAAATACTGAAACTCCCAGGGAAGTCACAGGAGATTCTCATTAAGACTTTAGGTTAGACAATAACTTTCTGAACAGAACTCCACTAGCACAGGAATGAGTCCCAAGCATTAACAGATGGGGCTTCACAGAATTTAAAAGCTTCAGCACAGCAAACCATGAGGAAACCATGAGCAGAGCACACAGGAAGTCCACACAATGAAAGAATTTTTTTTTCCTAGTTATGTTTTAGCCTGGGACCAATACCCAGAATTTACAAAGAATTACAGAGATTGAATACCTAGAAAACAAAACCACCCCATGAACAACTGGGATAATGACATGAACAGAAGAAGAAGTACCAAAAGAAAAAAACCCACTATTTTTAAGATTGTAAAATGTCCTTAATCATCAAAACATGCATATAAAAACTGCTTAGAGGAAGATGCTCACATGAGTCAGAATTGCTAGCATCAAGAAATCTGACAGCAAATGCTGGAGGATGAGGTGGAAGAGAAACACTTACTCATCACTGGTAGGAATGCAAATTAAAACAACTGTTACAGAAATCAGTTTGTGGATGCATCAAAAAGAACTAAAAACAAGTACCATATAACTATGGGAATATACTGGAGAACTCCATATCCTACTTTATAGATATTTGCATACCCATGTTATTGGTGCTGTAGTCACAACAGCAAGGCAATGGAAACAACCTAGATGTCCATGGACAGATGAATGGATAATGAAAAGGCAATAACTATACTAAACAGAATATTGTACAGCTGAAAAGAAAAATGATATCATGAAATTTATAGGAAAATGGATGGAATTCGAAAGTGTGTATGTATACATATATACAGGCATGTAACACAATTATCGAATAAAGACACTATGAATTTGAAAGAGAGCAAGGAGGGTTTAGAGAAAGGAAATGGAAGGGAGAGTTGATATAGTTATAGCACAATATCAAAAATAAAAGAGATAAGTTTTTAAAGATGTGCTTTCTTCACAACCTATAATGTGTATGTGTGTGTGTGTGTGTGTGTGTGTGTGTGTGTGCGCGCGTGCGCGCGAGAGTAAACAACAGTACAGAGACTAAGAAGGGGTAATGGGTGATGAGGAAAGACAGAATGCAAGCAGAAAGACACATGAGTCTTCAAAGAGATTATAAAACTAATTGTTTTTGTTTCAACTCTTTCAAATCTTTTTCTTCCTGTCTTTTATTTTTCTTTTTTCTTTTTTTTTTTTTGCAGGAGACAAATATTTAACAACATAACTGATAGTAAAAGTGTGAAACCCTAAGTGAAGCTCCCTGGCTTCATAATGGCCATCCCAACTGTATAGAAGTTCACTGGGATGCATAGAATTTGAGACTGGACAAGTGTTCAAGTGTTTGAGTGGCTTCCTTAAACCAGCTGTATAGTGGTTTTATTTGTGGGCTCATTAAAATAAAGTGATGTTTTTATAGTTGAAAAAGAAAAGAAGAAACAAATTCACAAAACAGTTTAAGGAGGGAGGACTGTCAGGCAGTCACAGAGCATGTGTGTAGAGAACAGAAAGGATTTGCATGAAATTGTGTAATAGGTTTCCTAAGTAGAAAACCTACACTCTTAGCTGCCATTTATTATTTTGGGGCATGTTATCCACCAAATGAAACTTCCTAAGAAGGCACAAGCACTCAGAGCTTTTCTTCAAGGAGAGACGCGTCAGGATATGTGGATGGATGGAATGGCAGGGAGAAAGGCAGAGCTGCATATAATGTTCCCAGTCTTCAAAAGTAAGCCTCTCTCTAGTTTCCATTGTTCTTTTCTTTTAAGAGCATCCCCCCCAACTATGTGCTCATCATACACTCTGTTTGATTTTTCTTCCAAATACTGCTCTCTCCACGGTGTGCTTTGTGACTCTCTTTATGCCAAAGACACACTGGGCAAGAGTCTGAAGACTTAATCTGCATCCTGGATCATTGCCAAATACATGATGCCCACATGATGCACACTTGTTTTGTTTCCCTAACAGTTACTAAGCAGTAATTTGTAGCACAAAAAATTTCAAAGTCACGCTGATCTCCATTTAAGCCACATTCTGAGTATTCGTTTCAGCATTTGCTAGTGTTTCTATTTCTTCTTTCTAAAGCTGGGCAAAGGCTAGTTTGAAGAAAATACCTTAAGGAAATATTTGCACCTTAACGCTCACTTGGCTTTTTTAGATGGATCCTTTTAAATAAAGGACTAGAAGAAGAAAGCTGAGAGGAAGTAGCCCCCCTTTTCCAAAATCTCTTCTCACCCTGCCTCTGCCAATATTGGGATAGGCTGAGTACCAGCACTGAGGAGGCACTATAGACACTGTGCTTGGCTGTGTCTAGAGCTTTTAAACAAGCCAGAAGATGGGAAATAATGTCTACACTGCCTCAGGTTAAAGCTCAGAACTGAAGTTTAGCATCTACATAGGGATGCCACCCGAGGCACTTCTCTCAATTTTGACGGGGAGCAATTGCAGTGAGGAGGGCTTCTACCTAATGCTTACTTAGGACAGACTGGACTGGGAAGACTGGTCCTCTGGTAAAAACAATGCTCACATTCCTGGATGCGTTTAATCAACCGACACTGTATCCCTCTGGATCTCACCATAACCCATAAGGAAAATTCTATT